GACACTTACTCTTCCAAAGACATGCTTCAATTAATTTGGTCAATAAAATGAAGCAAGATGAGAATTATGGGGGTCCTCCCTTTAGCTAAGAAGGTGCTGACTAGCAAAATTGTTGACTAGCAGAACAATGGGAAGCCTTTGGAGAATGAGTGCTAACCGACATACACTTTGCTTGCTAAGAGGTACCCTACGAGGACTCCTCTTGCTTCCCTACTTCTACTAGATGAGTCCTATTCTCCTAAGGGTCAACCTAGGACCTAAAGTCCTAGTTAAATGCTGCTCCAAATAACCAAGAACTAATGATAAGGACTTAGGAGCAAGTGTCCTAGTCTAACTCTACCCCGAATAACTAAGGATTGGTGATGAGATCTATCCTATCGCAACCTAGAGTTTGGACTTCTTTGGAACACAACTTCCTACCACTATAAATAAAGGCCTCTGGGTATCAAGTAATTCGTTCAATCCAAGTCTACTCACCACACACTTTCTTTGACTTGCAATCTAACTTAAGCATTGGAGGTCCTTTGACCGCTTTCGGCCATTGGTTCACCAAAGTGTTCTTTTGTCTTGCAGGTTCCTCGAGACTTCCACACCACCCTTTTTGTTAGTACAAGGTGGTTACTCTTTGTGTGAAATTATTCCCTGACAATGAACTACTACAATATTTGTAATATCAATAAATCAAACTTTATGTCCTCTTTTGTATTATGACAATAGTTCATAATAAGTTTATCAAAATTTTAAACAACTAAGTGTTCAGTCCATAAATAATTATTGTTAGAGTAAAAATTGTGTCCAACTATTCTAAAAGCTATTTGAGGTTGATCTGGGGCTGGCTACTCCTTTTTCCAAGCTCTAGGTGAGGTTTTCGGTAGTTATGGTACCTAAAAAAAAGTCAATGACAGAAAGTGTGCTCTGAGGGTCGACCCTCTGACACTCAAGTCAGTATTTGAGAAATTAAGGTGCTGCAATTGAATTGGGCTTAATGTACTTACTTGGGTCTTACCTCGGAGGTCTTATTTTATAGTGTTTTGATGGTGTCCTAGAGAGAGTGGACTCTAGGCTCTCTTAATAGTTTGAATTTTCCAGATCTCCTTTCGAATAAGGAGTTTTGTCTTCTGTGGATTTTATCCTTTGTTGGGATAACCATCCAGAGTCCTAGCTGTGCTAGGAGTTTATTTGATCATGAGGATAAGACTTTGCCAAGGGTTTGATCTTATCCTTATCCCTTGCCTACCTTATCTTCCTTATAGTATCTAAAAAATTTCACCTTTTGAATGAGTCTTTGGTAGATAAGGTTCCTAAAAATTGGGGATTAGCATTGCTATCGTTCTGGTTTCCACCAAGTTAGGAAAAGTTTATTATCTAAGCTCAACACTTCTCCAATTTTCTTTTCTTGCTAATAGGTCATTCAACGGTTATAGTTCTAAAGGTAGTGCCACCTAGGACCTTTCCCTTTAGTTGAGATTAAATTCCCCCATTAGTTGCCCTTAATCAATGGATAGGGGTGTGTAGCGAACATAGAGGATGGGCCTTGGGTGGTGGGTGGTTGTGCTTAGAGGTGTTGGGTAGTTTTGGTGTTGCTTGATGATTGTTACAATAAAAGCTGTTGGGGTGGTTGGTGGGTGGCTGTGGTCTATGGAGGTGTTGGCCGGTAGTTATGTTTCAATAGTTGTAGATTTAGATTAGCTTTTAATGATAAGGTTTTCCTAGTCAATAGAGTTGTTAAATGATCTGAACTATTCAGGTTTGAATCAAACAAGACTCGTTTCTAACTCGCTAAAGCTCTTTTGTTTTCTAAAATAAGCCAAATCTTAAAAATTTTTAACACATTATGTATTTATTTGAATGCTACAGGAACTTAGAATCACATGAATTATATTTTTAGGATATTGAAGTTTTGGGTCATTTATTTTAAAGACATTATTGTTGGAGACGTAAGAATTTTTAATATGTAGTTAGATTTTAATGCAAGATGTATGGATGGTTTAGATCTATATATACCTAATTTGTTAATTGTTCATTTTTTTGGATCCACCATATAGTACATTGAAGGGGCATGATATTATGACCACGTATCATAGTGTAATGATTCACACACGTGACAAGGTCACATGCACATTTAAGATATTGATGGTTAAAAGTAGTGGTAATACAAGACCAAGCTAACTAAGGTTGGTTCAAGAATAAAGGACCATTTATTAAACATTCTCAGTTAATTAGGCTGATCTTGATTAAAATTAGAATGGCTCGGGCCATGTAAAGATTTGCTCAGTTATCTAGGCCGAGCATTGTTAAGAGTTGAACAATTGGGTCCAAGTTAAGTGAAGTAAATTACCAATCATTCAAAAAATTGAGTAGATAAGATAAGGAAATTGCTAAAGTTATGGAAAATAATCACCAATAAATCCTGAAGAATTGGCCGATTAACAAACATTAGAGGGATTTTAGTAAAGTGTAACTGAAAGTTTGGCATAATGGGGATGTACCACCTCACCTTGAAAGCAAAAGTAATCCTAAGGGAGGAAGGCCGAGGAATCCATAAAGGGAACCGAGGAGGATCAAGAAAGGTACGAATAGTTTTCCCTACAATTTCCTTCGTCTCTATCCTCTACTGACTTAAGGATCGAAGTGCCTTTGATCAGTCCACTTCGACCATAGTCAAACCATGTTGTAAGAGGTAATGTTTTTACCTCTTACATAAATTATCTCTTATCTTTTGCATTTCAGTAATGCTACATTGACCAAAATTAGGGACCAAAAAAGGTGACCAAATTAGGGGGTGGTGGCGTTTCTGGTTAAGGGAGCAATTTTTGGGGTTGGGAGAGAAAGGAGAGTAGATGGAGGAAGAGAAAAACATGGAAAGAAGGGGAGAACACAGAGAGACGGATAGGAGTGATGTGACCTTGTTAGATTTTGGTTTGAATTAAGGGATGAGAAGTGAGATTTGGGAGATTTGTGGGCGAAAGGAAGGCGTTAATTTATGTAGGTGAAAGGCATTAATTTATGTAGGTGAGATTGTAATCAAATGCACTCAAACGATAGATATTCATTTAGCACCCATTTATAAATGACGAATGTGTATTCAAGACAATTGAATTGATTTTGAAAGAATTACAATCACCCTCGTTTGCAGTGATTCCTAGAATTACTTGTGCCAAGTCTTAGTTTTTGACCGATAAGCAAGAAGACATACATATCAAAGATGTTTTCTAATTTAATCATTCAATTGACCCAAAATAATTAGTCTTTGAAAAAACCCTAGGTTGAGTCAAAAATCCCCAATTCACAGATGAGACTACTTTATCCGATAACACTGGTAAACGACTACTCATGCATGATTGAATTGAAATAGAAAGCAATTAAAGAAAACATCATTGTAAATGAAATCAAAAAGACAAAAGTTGAAATTGAAAGAAAAGTAAATACCTTGTATTGAATTTACAATGAATGTAAATCGTTTATAAGAATAAACGGGAAGTAATTGGGTTGTAAGAATTTGATGCTTGAATTGAAACAAAGCTTGTAAAGTAAAACAATGGAGAAAGCTTGAAAGAAGAGAAAAATATAAAACCCTAGAGAAGAGAAAAGAGAAGAATGGTGAATTAAACGATGGAATTGAGCCCCCTCTCTTTTAGCTAGACTTGGGTATTTATAAGAGAGTATTCTGTTGATTTTTCCCACTTCAGTTCACCAATCATGACTCTCGAAATAAGCTAGTCGATTTCCTTCCATAGGAGTCTTAATTACCGAATTTTACAGGAACCTACCAGTAGGAAGAACACGACCAACCAAGACTGTTCAATGTTTTGCATCTACCGGTTGCTTTGCTCTTTTATTAGTAGAACCCCTTTTTGTCTACAGCCCACCAGTAGAAATAACATGACCTATTGGTAGAACAACTCTGTTTTGCATCTACCAGTAGAACTATTTTCCTACTCATAGAATCAAGTTCTAGCCTTTATTGTTCTGGTAGAAGACCTACCATCAGAAAGGGTATTTTCCTCAATTTTCTTGTTGCGGCATTGAATTCACTCCTGGACCTCCTAGCTCATGCCCCAAGTCTTCTATGACATTGACACGCATGTAAATCCATGTTCTTATTCCAATTCTCCTGCAAACACACATTTTCACTATAAAATACAAAACTCAACAAAAATAAAGGAATTAAGTAGCTAACACAACTAAGATGGATAATATGTGGCCTATAATATACAATATTCTACACTCATCATATGCCACAAACACCACCTATGGCGCGTATTGGGAAAAACAATCTCAATTGCCTTGTCTTGGTCCGTAATTATTGCATTTGGAGCACAAAAATACATGTAAACAACCCAAGATTGAAATAACCAAGTAAACGTCTTAACATTCTCGCTTGATACCAAATCACATCCTAATAAATTCGATTGAACATGGTGATTGACACTGACAAATGAAGCAAATGGCATGTCATACTTATTTATTAAATATGTGGTGTCAAATGTAATGGCATTACTAAACTCCTCATATGTTACCCTACTTCTAGCATTTTCCCAAAAATACAATCCTCAAACGACCCTCATCAGCCAAATCCATCATATAGAAAAAGTTTGAATTATCACCTTACATTTTCAAGAAATAGTTGTGAATTAAAGTAGCACCTCCTTCCCCAAGCTACAACTGCCTTTGTCAATAAAATTTATAGAATCTTTGTCTAAAAAGGGAACATTCTCATACCCACCTGCTTCAACCACAATAGAATTAAAGATCTTGTTAATTCGAATTTCAGCTCTGTCATTCTTTTCAAGTCTTCTTTTGATGTATGGTCTCATTATCTTGTTACACTGATAGAAATGAGATTTGACCGGACTCAACCCATGGTTATGTTCAAGCATGACAAAAGTCACTCGCCACCTGCCATCGGAACATATAGTTGCTCTCAGATTTGCTTTACAATCAATTTTGGTGATTGGATGCATTTGGAAGGCATTTCTTGATGTAGATTTTGACTTTCCCTAGCCAAAACTTGCAAATGACATATATCTTAGCTCTCCATCATCTCTCTTTGATGATGTTCTTCTTTTTATGGGAAAACCTAGGTCATTACCATATCTTATGTAGTACTCAATTATTTTGTCAACTGTAATAATCATCATTCCAAATTTTGGCTCTTCTAATTTTTCTACCACATTGATTGTATTGTCAACTTCCTTCTCATAAGTATTACCGTCCATCTCCATGCTTGTATAGCTAGTTGGAGTTTCTTCTTCCATTCCTGTCCAAAAAAAAACACAAAACATAGATAATCAAAGATCATAGAAATAGTAGATTGTCACAGGAATGAATATAATTGGTCACTCTTAAAGTTACTATAAACACATCAAATGTTAGTTTCTTAATTCCTAGTTGAGATACTGCATTTAACATATAACAAAAAACTTGGAAGATGGATTACCATTGAGGAATTGATATTGCTGAGCCGATTGTTTTGGCGGTAGACTGATAACCACAGGACATAATTGACAAACTGATAACCAAGTTCCTATATGCTTTAAAATAATTTCCTATAAAAAAATAGATTACCTTGATCTGAAGAATGTCATGGGCTTCCCAATGAATCTTTCTGGTGGCATTCTAAGGAATTTAATTTAGAATTTTTACGTGATTTTCAAGAATAACTTACATAAGTATGAAAGTAGTTTTCCCAAGTGATAAAGTAGTATTAAGATTAGAGACACAAAGATTTGAAAAAAAGTCTATGAAGCCAAATAAGCATTTAATCAAGTAGTTGGAGTGCATCGAAGGTTTGTTGTACAAAGTCAGACAGAGTCTAAGGATCTGGAGAATACCTTGAGCAATAAAAAATAGAGGATGGATGTTTCTGAATATCAAGATTAGACTATTAGTTGGATTGATCTTCTTGGATTCATAGGGATACGATGCGGAACAACCCTGTCTCATCGGCCACTGGTGGAAGTCGAAAATACTAGAAAATATGGAGATGACTGAAACAATTTTTTTGGTTTCATTCTGCCTATTAGCAGATCGGGGAATTCCACCATGTCTCTCAATTTTGGAATTTGATGTTAATCCGCTTCTTTCCTTGATTTTAGGCTTAGATTTTGGCTGAAAATTTTGATGGGTATTTAACCAGTAAGAAATATTTGCACAGTAGACTCTCAATGTCAGCCGCTGTGTCATTTTGTCACTTTTTTTTGTCACTAATTTTGGACAATTCAGAGCCTAGAAATCACCCTAGTGCGATGGTCAATATGGAGAGAATCAACAAGAAACCAGTGAAGATCAACAAGAAAAACAACCGACTTTTATGTTTGATGAAGAAGACAAGAGAGCTCTCTATTCTCTGTGATATTGAAGACTTCCTCCTCTACTATGATGGTGACGATAATAATCATCTATCTCTTCTCTCTTCTATTCTTGGCCCGATGATCGACATACTATTATTTCGCTGATCAAGAAATATAGGCACACACTCAGTGAACCCATCAAGAACATAAAGAACAAGAAAAAAACTATTGGTTTTGCAATGAAAGATAATAGCCAAGATTCCAAGATCGGTACAAATCATAGCTAAGAATCAACTATGGGTAATCTTTCTTTTCTTGTGCCAAGCTTTAAGGGTATAGGAATGGAAGAGTTGCAACATATTCTTTGTCAGGTCGACAAAGTCAAGATGGCTGTGGTTCAAAGAATCCAATCCTTGAAGACATCTTCTGCAAACTCAAACAAACAAGAAGAATATAGTCCCAAGAACTTCAAAGAGTTAGAAGAAAACAAAGGTGAGATGATTAAGGCTATGAGTTTTAATGATTGGACATTTCTTGAAAGTGAAGATCAATGCACAAGTTCTGTTAAGAATGAGGAAAAAATGATTTGCAAGAATGAATCTCATTTTTCATTGCTTCTCAGAATGATACAAGGTCTATATTTATACAAATCATGATCACCAACTTTCTCACTCTCTTTCCTAACTAATAGGATCTATTATAACAATAGTTAAATTCTAACTAACTTCTATTCAGCTAACAACTTGGGTGCTGTATATATTATGCCTAACTAATTACTGTAACTAATCATGCCAGCTCAGCTCTTGGATGAATATGTTCAGCTCAAATGTATGTGCAGAGATATTCTGGTGTGATGTAGTTCCAGCACCAGCTGTGCAGTTGCAATGGACAATGGATGTATTCTCAATACGCCCCCCTCAAGATGGAAGCAAAGAAAAGGAGAAAGACCAAGAGGATTAGTGAAAATATTTCTGAGCTAGTTTGAAGATGTAACATGAAGTGTTTTGATAACCCCATGTTGTATTTGGTCACAAACATAATGACAATCCAGCTTAATGTGCTTGATTTTCTCATTGAAAACTGATTGGTTGCAATATGTAAGCTACCTTATTGTCACAAAATAGTAACGCAATAAGAGGATGTAGAAGTTTGAAATCAGCAACGAGAGCTATTAGTTAAGTGAGTTCATAGCAAGTGGAGGTCATGGATCAATATTCTGCTTCAGCAGAGGAGTGAGAAACTATAGGTTGTTTCTTTGATTTCCAAGAAATAAGGGAATTTCCTAGAAAAACACAAAATCTAGTCAATAATTTGCGTGTATTAGGGCATCTAGCCAAGTCAGCATCACATAACCCTTTAAGGTGAAGAGCTGAGGTAACTGGGAAAAAGAGACTTTGAGCAGGTGTTGATTTGACATAACTAAGAATACGATGAGTAGTATCTAGGTGAGGTTGCCTTGGTGTGTTCATGAATTGACTAAGGACCTAAACTGCATAAGCCAAATTAGGTCTTGTAAGAGTAAGAGCAATCTGCCCACAAGTCGTTTGTAAGCAGAAGGATCAGTCACTTCAGAATCAATAAGGATGTCTAGCTTGAGATGTTGTTCCATTAGGGATTTAGCTGGTCTTCCACCAAGAAAACCAGAGTCTTGAAGGATCTCTAGAGCAAATTTGTGTTGACAGATTGAAATACCTTGAGAGGATCTGGCTACTTCAAGGCCTAAGAAATATTTCAAAGAACCAAGATCTCTGATCTTAAACCGACTATGAATAAATTGGTTGAGCTTAGCAACAACATTAGGAGTATCAGATGCAATGACGATGTCATTAATATCGATCAACACAACAATAAATTAAGTATCATCTTTTTTGATAAAAAGAGAGTAATAAGATTTGGATTGGACAAAACCATATCCAAGAATAGCATTAGACAACTTAGAAAACCATTGTCTAGATGCTTGTTTCAACCCATATAAAGACTTATTCAATTTGCAGAGTTGATTGAGACCATTTTTAGCAAATCCAAGTGGGAGTTGCCGGTAAATTTCTTCTATGAGATCTCCATGAAAGAATGCATTGTGAACATCTAGTTGAAAAAGGTGCCACCCTTTGATTGCTGCCAAAGCCAACAGACATCCGATAGTGGTGAACTTAGCCAATAGAGAAAATGTTTCAAAATAGTCAAATCCCTCTATTTGAGTATACCCTTTATAAACTAGTCTTGATTTGTACCTTTCAATGGTACCATTAGCCTTGTACTTGATTTTAGGGTTAATTGCATTGGAGGTCCCCCATAGTATAGAGTTTATCTTATTTTGGTCTCAAATATTTCAATTGCATCATTTTAGTCCATAATATTGAATATATTTCTATGTGGTCCCTCAAACAGATAATATCCAAATTGCTAATAATTTTTTATTATAAATTTGTCACATGATACTTAAATATGGACAAAAAATAATTTGGGTATCAAAAGTTATTCAAATTAATTTTTTCTCGATATTTTGGTATTATGTGACAAGTTTATAATAAATTTTTTTTAGCAATCTGGACGTTGTTTGCTTGAGAGACCACATAGAAATATATTCAATAGTTTAGGGACTAAAATGATGCAATTAAAATATTGAGAGCTAAAATAAGACAAACCCCATACTTTGAGAACCTTTAGTGCAATTAGCCCTTTATTTAATATGCCCACTTACAACCAATGAGAATTTTGCCAAGAGGTAGAGAGGTAAGGGTCCAGTTGTGATTATCTTCAAGAGCTTGGATTTCAGAATTCATGGATGTGCACCATTCAGGGAATTGAATAGTCTTCTGGAAATATTGACGTTCATAATGTGAAGAAATACTGAGAATAAAAGGTCAGAGCAGAGGAATAAAAGGTCAGAGCAGAGGAGCTTCCTAGGTAGCAAGCTAGTTAGGAGAGAAGTCACTTTTGGCTTCTTAAGTAGGGGCAAGGAGGAAAGTCCGATAGGAGGCATGTCTGACCAATTCGACCATAGACTAAAGTCGGGAATAGATCTAATAAGAGAAAAAGGCATGTGTCGATCAAAGACCGAAAATGTTTCTTTTTGAATAGAGACAAGAAACTTCCATCGTTTTTTCTAACTATTGGGACAAGAGTCAATACATCATTCTCTTTGTTTGATGATTCTGCTAGAAAGTTGAACAATCCTGAGAATGATTCTAGGGAGAAGGATAGGCCCGGTCAAACTATGGATCTCCCTAAAGAATCTTGTCTATTCCTATCATAAAATCCCTCTAGACTAGACTTCTGGGTCTTTTAGCCAATTCACTTCAAATATGTATGCGGTATGCTCATTTTTTTAGGTGAGAGGAGCATTGCTTTGAGGAAGGGAAAGTGTGGTTTTATATTAGATAGAAGTGGCTGGCCTATAAGGCTTTCTATTGTCCTTTTAGGTCTTTTGAAAGAGAAGCGAACGAATAACTATAGTATTACTCCTGATCCCCCACAGAACACAGAAAGAATCCTTAAAGAGGGAGGGCGACCCTACCAGCTTTGATTCACCTTTGGGGGTTGCTAGTGGGTAATGCTTTCACTTAAGTGTTCTTAGCATCTCAAACCTTGGAAATCAAATTGAAAGTGCTATCCCTGAGGGAAAGCAGGTGTTCGAGGCCCCGCCACTTGAAGGGACAAGCTTCGTCGCTTAAAAGGACACTTGAGAGAATTCCTTAGATGCGGTACAAAATTCCCATGGCAATTGACAATGAGCTACTTGCCAAACTATTTTAGCATAGTTTGACTGGACCCGCATTGACTTGGTTGATGAACACTGACCCAAATACCATTTGCATGTGGCTAGATCTGGTTAATGCCTTTGTGACGCACTATGCATAGAATACGGATATTCAGTTATCAAGGCATAAGCTTTGGCATCTCAGTTGTGGATGGTTAAGAAGAAATGAGCTGACAATGGTAATCTTGTAAGTAACTAGGTGTCCTTCTTAGTCGATGAGAATGTCTAGATGAGGGTTGAATAGAAAGGGAAAAAGAAATTAGTAGAAGGGAATGATATGTTGGAATTGAAATGATATTATCCGGTGAGGTAGAGTTAGTAGAAGTAAAGAGTCTTCATCAACATAGTGAGATGCTGTAGCAATTGTGTGAAAAGGAAATTTAGACTCATGAAAAACATCTTGAGAGATGAAAATAGAATTTAGCTGATTTTCTTTTCATCAGATAAACCCAAATTCATCTAGGGAAATCATCCACAATAGTAAGAAAATATTGTGAAACTTTCAGCGAGGGAACATAAAAGGGACCCCAAATATCATGATGTATTAATTAAAAAGGAACAAGTG